CATATTCTCGTGAAAATTGTGAAGAGTGAATATTGCAAGAAGAAACACCCTTCTAGGCAGTGCCATGTGTGCGCAGAGCACAAGAAGAAGAGTAGAACTGCCTACATGTGCAACTTCTGCATAATGCCTCTTCACAAAGGGGAATGTTTCCAGAGATATCACACGCGCAAGCACTTCTATGAGCTCTGGTAAGAGTTCTCCAAAAATTTCAGTTCATAAAATTAATTAGGAGATTTTATATTAATTTTTAAAGTGAACAGTGCACAAGTTAGGGTAGTAGGTTTAAAAACGCCGGTCCCCAGGGTGGTTTAAATGTTTAAACCACCGGTCCGCAATGTGTTAAGGTGAAATGTGGCTCTGCAGTGGTTTTAAATTGGACAGCTTTGTGTTACAGCAAACAAAAAGCTAATTACAACATTTAACCACATTGTTTTCATGAATACTAAACTGTTAATTAGTCAGAGATTTTATACATTATATTTTCTTTTAGCTTTTTTTTTTTTTATTGCTAGTGAGGTTGGACTAAGTCCCTTGTACTACGGCCACTTCTGGCCTATTGTACCAGCCGCAGATGATAGGTGGGGGTGATTGTGGAGCAGTTGGTGGAATGAAGATTGGCAAGGGAAACCGAAGTACTTGGAGAAAACCTGTCCCAACACCACTTTGTCCACCACAAATCCCACTTGACCAGACCCAGGATCGAAACTGGGCTGCCGCAGTGGGAAGCCAGCGACTAACTGCTTGAGCTATGGCAAGGCCTATTCTTTTAGCTCTGCTATTTAATGATGCTGTAAGTAGTGAGACTATGTAGCGTCAATAATAGGATGATTAATGAATGTGGAGAAGGTGGTGGAATGAGAAGTGGCAGGAGAAACTGAAGCACTCAGAGAAAATGTGCCCCAGTGGTGTTTTGTCCACCACAAACCCCACATGATGTGACCTCTGTATATTATCACCAATATTAAACCTGTCTTTAAAGATCCTCATTTTAAACCATGATTAGGTTAATCAGTTATGGGAACTCAATTTCTGTAGAAAGTTCTAAGAAGTAATGAAAACTGAGAATGTTTTAGGTTTTGTGTACTATCATTGAAGATTCCTTCAGGTAGCATTATATTACTGTTAAAATTGAAGGGGAATGCTGTATCTAAAATGTTTCCTTTTTGAAGGCTCTCCAATGGAAAATGCTACATGTTGATATCCCATATGATAATGGGATCCTCCCATAGATGGGAAGGTAGATGAATGGTGTGACATATATAATCCATGGATTTGGTGGGGAATTAGTTCCTAACACACACTATCCCATATGCAATGGACAAGCTTTATCTATGCGTCTGTGAGAGAAACTGGATTTTTATCATAGCTTCACAGCTTAAAACAGTTACACTATCTACTTGCTTATTTTCCCTTATTGCATATTTTTCTGTCTTTTTATCAACATTTTTCTTTTGTCTTGTTCAGAGGTGAGGCCTTTTTATGTATAGGATTATTTTCAGCTCTCAAAAATTTTTCAGTAATGCTGTCAATAAGTAAGACTAACATAGATCAAGGGACTGAAATTTCAGTGGTTGGTTGATTGATGGTAGCTTTTGAGTGTGAGTGCATGTGCAAATGTGCAGAGAATCTATTTTTTCTGTCCTCGGATAGATCTTAATGAAAATATTTCAATAAACTACCTAGAAAAGAAGTGAATGCAGTCTTTTGTTTTCATACAAAGTAATTTTAGAAAGAACAATATAATATGATTAGTAAAGAAAGTTGAGTATGCTTATGTACATGTCAGGTAAATAATGGAAAGCATGTTCTGTTACTAAACAAAAACACAACGGACAAAATTTATTGTGAATGCAATTTTTGGTTTAACTTTATTTCAAAGAGCAGTTTCTTTTATGTTGGCATAACAGATTTGTTCATATGAATAATTACCTCTACTCATATGAATAATTACTTGTACTGTGGCTTTTTGGTTGAACATATATAGTAGGTCAATATGGTGCCTTACTGTGGGATTCTCTTTACGAGTGTCTTTGTCATTACTCCGATGACAACCCACTTCTTCGGAACAGTTTGTTGGCCCTGAAAAGGACCGTGGCTGCTGAGATGATTGATCGGTGAGGTAGCGCGGCGCGCGCCGGTAAGGAGAAAGGCTAGTTGCGGTGAGTGGAGTGGCCGCAGTGCGACCGTGGCAGCTGGTTGCTTGGTTGCCGTGCGGCAAGTGATGGAGGTTGCTCGATCGCAGTGCGGCGGTTGCTGCTGGTGGTGGTGAAAGGCTAGTCGAGCGCGGTCGCAGGAGCCATGAGGCAGTGGCTACGCCAGAAGCCCAGTGGGTCGGACCGTAACACGACCACCGGCGAGTCCAGGCGCTGTGCCCCAGTGAGTCGGGTGTGAGAGCGCTGGAGGGCCGAGGCAGTCGTGCCCGGCGCAGCCTGCCGATGTATCCGAAGACCGAGCGCTGGCGACGAAGCCTGCTGGCTGAAGTTGCTTGCTGTCTGATGAACTGAATTAAACTGGATAACTCGACTCTGGGGTCGCTCCTTTTTATACGCTGGTCGGTGGGGCGGAGCCAAACTCGAAAGTGAGGAGCAAGAATTGATTGGCTAGCGCGCGTAATGGTGTAGACGCGGGCTATCGCCGAGCGTAGTATAAATGCGATCGTTTGAAGCAATCTGATTGGTTAGCGCGCGTGATGGTGAAAAGTGATGTGAAGAGCGAGCGTTGTAGAAATGCGTGATAATGTGGGATGTTCCCACATTACCTTCAACTGACAGTATGTTAAGAGATCAGAGATTATTATTTATTTCGTTGGGAGACCTTAACACTCAAACCTAGTTAGAAAATTTGTTGGTTAGTAGATAAATATTTTATTATTTGTATAAGAAATTCATTACCTGCTAGAAACTAAACATGTAATTTGAAATCAGATGGTAGAAGGTTAGCCTGTGTTATTTCCAGTACGGCTACATTTGGGACAAGCGGAAATGCCAATTCTAAGACAGTATTGAGGCTTAAAACTCAGGACTATATCACATGTAACATCATGAAATGTACATGCAATGAGCACAGAAATATCATAAAAATATTTTAATTTTTAAAAATAGATTTTTGTTCTGAAGTTTGAATTGGAATAACCCAAGCTTTGGTGTCACAACTACTTATTTATCTGAAGACATATATAATAACTGGTAGTGAAGAAATAGCTGATTAACCGTTACAACTCTCATGTAGAACAGTAGGACTAAATAGGATATAAATAAAAATAATAATATCTAATCTGTAACATAACAAAATATTTTTGTATTTTTATATATTGCAGTAATTATGATTTTCTGTCCTCTGTTTCTGTTCTATTGTCACTGTTTTTACTGTATGTGAAAACTTCCATACATTTTTCTGTTCTCTTCTAGAGCGAAGATTCTGAAGTAGAAGTGGGGAAATTAACATTGATTCATTTTGTGCTTTAAACTTATTACTTAAGTATTTTAGGGTGTTATATTATTGCAGGAATCTGCAACTGAGCTTCCAGATGATGCACATATTAATGGAATAACTGAGAGAAAATCTGAAAAATGTGACACATGCCCATCAGTTCCCAAAACAGTGAGAGTGAAACATAAATTAAGTAAGTCCCGTTAAAACAAGGAGAGATTCAGTTACTAATATGTACACTGTTTACTAATATGAAAGATGTTGTAATTTAGAACAAGTGACAAAACTGATACCTATAGGACAGGTTGACATTGTCTTGTAAATAATATGTTTTGTGACATCATATTTGAAGAATATAATTAATTCTTACTATCATGAAACACATCAGAAGGATATTATTTGCATGTACAAGATATTTATTTCCATCTTTAAATTTATTTTCTGCCCTGTCTTTTATAAGGAGTCAGGCTAGTGCAGTTTGTATAGGGACTTGCTATGGGCTGGATGGCTGAGGGGTCAGAGTTTGAGTCCCAGTAGGGATAAGATTTTTCTCCTATTCATATTGTCGAGATCACTACTGAGGCCCACCCAGCCTCCTATCCAGTGGGTGCTGGGGGCACTTTCCCTGGGGGTAAAGTGGCTAGGGCATGAAGCTGATCACTCACCTCCAGCTAGTGCTAATGCCAAGAATATGTGGATCTGTACATCTCCCCCCCCCATACGTCTTCATGGCGTAGTGCTTAATTATATAAGCGCAGGGGCAACTTTACCTTACCTGTATGTTTTAAAAAGTTAGTGCCCATAAAGAGTATGGTCTTGTGGGTTGTAATGACATGTAGTTTGGAGAGAGCCTAACATGTCAGAGGAATAAATCACCTCCATCCTTGGGGTTGAAAGTAAGCCAAGCAAGAAACCAGCAGAAGTAGGTGACAAGCTAAGAGAACTACAAGTGGAAGATATGTCCTGATATAAGTTACATAGAAGAATGTTCGCCTTTCTCCTGAAGTGCAGGTGAAGGATATCTTTGATTCAGTTCACATAACACTATTCTTTAACACCTGGATCAATTTAGAATTAAAGAACCCTTAGGCTGTTAAAAAAAAAGGAATTACAAACTGACCAAGGTATTAAGAACTTCTCTCAGAGATAATTTCTTGCAGGCTCCAAACTGAAACTTCAGAAGAAGCTGGTAAAGCAGCCAGATTGTTTGCGGCCTTGATTGTATCTGCCTACAGACTCTCAACAAGCAAAACTGTAATGTCAAATCAGATGCCTGAAATACCTGTAGTTTAGCAACTTGTTAATATGAACAAAGCTTCACACAAAACTTGCAGACCTGTTGCTTGATTTTGCCACCTATCTTAGACCAAACAAAACATGAAGTCAGGAAAGCACTCTTATAAAACAATGCATGTTCACAGCACGATGTAGTGTGGCAGACTGAAGCAATAGGCTTGCGGAAGTGTCACCTTGGCCTTCCCTTTCATTGTCTTTCACCATGGCAGTTACAACAATAACAGTCCAGGAACTTTTTGATACACCTCATATATATTTAAGGTTGCAGCTTCGGTGTTTCAGTGGAGGGAGGTTTGTTTACCCCAAGACCAGTGCATGCCAATGTGACATAGGGTTCCGCTGTCACCAGATTCTGTGCTCTCTTTACGTAAATGATGTTGCAGCACAAGAATTTGGGCTTGATGTTGTATTATATGTGGATGACATCTCTTCTGATGTAGATTTAGATATAGATTTAAACAGAGCCATGTTAAAAATGTAGTGAACACGTGTCAGTATAGAAGACTGGTTGTCAAAATGGAGCATAGTCAGTGACCCAAGTGATTAAGTTTCCAAATGAAAGGAAATTACTGCAGTATTATATTCTGCTGCATGGGCACTTTCTTGAACATATAAGAGCACACAGAGTGCTTTGGTGTGACACTTAACAAAAGGCATAAGTTTAAGGCCCACACACATAACTGGTTCATCACATGGCCTTTAAGTGTAAATCAGACTGTATTCACTCTTATAATTGAGCATTTAAATACTGATGCTGGCTTGTCTCCTTTAAAGCATTAATCAGATCCATAACGATCTATGCCTGTCCTGAATGGATGGGTGTAGCCTTAAGCTACTTTCAGAAGCTCCAGACAATTCAGATTAGAGCTCTCTGCATAATAGGTGGTGTCCCATGAAATACCAGAGCCAGTGATCTATAACAGTTCTTTAAAATTCCATCACTAGACAAACCAGTAGATTGCCTAGTGGGAAAAAGGACGTATGTTATAGAAAATCAAGGAAATTAAGTTGTATGTACAACATCATTAATAGGGGTGCTTCAGAGGAAACATACCAGGTGCAGACTTGCGGGGACCAGCCTTCTGCCAGTTGAATATATAAATAAATATGAGAAACCAAGTTATCCAAAACTTGCACGGAAACGCATTTGCTGGCCATTGTACATTACATATCTTAAAGAAACGCTTTTTTAACTAAGTTTCCAAAGACCAAATCTGAAATATGGTTCTGAATCCATCATAAAGTCTGATTCCTAAAAGGGCTGTGGTGGGTGAAGTCCACACATAAGAACTGCACTACACATGTTTTGCTCTGCTTCCTGCCTGGATTGTTCTGGTTTCTTGCTTGGCTTACTCTTCAGCACTGAAGAGGAAGGTAATATGTTCCTCTGAAATGTTTGTTGCCATTCATTGGACAACAAGGAGTTGTATCCCAGATGATGGAACTTGTTATAGTCACCACAGTGAGAAACTCGAATTCAAAATTGGAGACATTTATTTATATTTTATTGGAAGTGACCAATTATAAAAAAATAGTAATCATGAGAACTGAATTTGGACGGCTAAGCTGTATAAAACTTCAAATGCTCCATAAATAGTTTGATAGGAAGTACGACGTAAATAGAAGCATTGAAATTTTAAATTTGAACATGATTACAGAAGAAGGTCAGTGATGTCAAACTACATAATAATCAAACCTGCAGTAAATGCTGAAACTATTTAATAAATAAGCAGCAGGTAATAATGACACTTTAATGTTTATTGTTATTGGGAGCAGTTACCTCACTGATCATGTCATCACTTGATCTTGATGCCAGTTCTTCTTTGTACTCTCTGTTTCGCCATTACACCACTGCGCTGTCCTCTATTTTTGTGTCCATGCTGCCTGCACTTAAGTAACTTGTCATCTTCACTATGCTTCACGTGGCACAGACACATCATCACTATGTTGTCTCTCAGCTTAGACTCTTTTGTTGTGGGGCTTGCTGCTGTTACTAGATTTATATCACAACTCTGAAAATTGGCTGGTGGCCACCATAGCAGTCTATAACAATCTGGAAGAGAGGGGATTATTCTTTATGTTTTGCCATAATAAGAGGTGTGCACAGTTCAGTGCATGAACCCCCCATTGCTCAGCTCATGTGACAGTAGTTCGAAGTTAAAAATGTTACTACTATTTCATTTTACAGTAATATAAGGCAAGAGCAGAATAGAGGAAGCTGTTCTTTGAACATTGTGGTGTAATGAACCTGGTGGTGGTCAGTGTGCTTTGGATGTCTAAGGTTATCCCTCCCATTTCAATACAAATATTATTGTTATTATTGCTGTTTTTATGTGTTTCTTTTTTATTATAACTGAAAAAGTGCTCATACTGGTGAGAAGTATATTGTCACTGGATTAAAACATTCATAATATTTTTCCATATTAGGGACAGCTAACTGAACCTTATCTTTGATGATTTGATAGAGGTTCTGATCACAAAATGGCCTATATCCAAATAAGTTTGTTGATATAATGCTTTATTTATCTGGGATCATCATCATCTTTATCACTGCCACCACCTCTGCTGCCACAACCAAGATTGAGATTATCTCATTAGAAACACTACATTTTCATACATCTGTTCTTTGGAAGAATATAAATATTGCAGAATATCCTTTATCACAGACAGATATATACTTTGCGTATTCTAAAACGAGGTCATAAGCTGCAGCTCATTTGACATATACAAAAATAAGACATTGATAATGGTAGAATATTTTTGGTAGGATTGAACTTACATTTTCCAAATATGAAATGGCAAGTTATTGCATGAGCCATGATGCTTGGTGTTTTCCTCATCATTAACCAGTTGGGGCTTTAATCCATATAATAGAGAATTATTTTATTTCTCCTTCAGTATTATGCCGTTCACGTCGTAGATGCAAGCAGAAATTTTTTGGAGCTCGTCCAGGAGCTCGTCTTGCGGCCCTTAAGGCTGCATTAGCTGCCAGAAGAAACAAAGGAATTCAACAGAGGCAGGATACTGGAAGTGATGATGAAGGGTTAGGTAAGATGTGATATCACTTCATTCTGAAAATAGGGGCTGCTGGTTTCATGAAAACAGTGGCATGACAACTTGCTGCCACACAGTGTACATAATCAATGTTAACACATGCCTTAATTGTACGACACACTTCTTTAGGTAGTACAGATATTGTAATTCACCACAAACAACTCTGATTTCCCAACCACCTGCAATCTGAAATAACATCTAGAAGCTAATCATTAATGTGCTGTCAGTAACAGTAGTGATAATTCTCAACTTTTGAAACATGACATATGTTGAATGCAAAGTTACATGTCTTAAAATCAGTTGTCTTAGGCAGATACTTTATGAGGTAATTAAAATGATGCTGTATAAAAGGAGACATTTACTGGGATTTACTTAGATTGTGTTGTCTTCATTTTTGCATTGCAACTGTATAAAAATTAAGTTCTATTCAGTGTCCTGAAACATCCAGATATCCTCCTTAAATTTTTCTATCATTAACTTTTGAAGTGTTGTGTAGTGTTTCTTCATTTACCAAGTCTGATGTTTAATTCTCAAGACAGGATATCTCAAAGTTTTCTTTGATTTTTTTTTTTTTATTTTGTCTGGGAAGTCATGGGTTTGATAATTAGCTTCAATATTTACTGTTGTGTCTGTGATCTTTTGTGGCTTTCTTGTCATTGAAGATACGTACATTGAAATAGATCATGACCAGTTCTGTCCACATCTCTGCCAATTCATCTTTAACACCAATTTTGTCATTCAGTATTGTGTGGTTTAGAAAGCATTGGTAAATAAACCTATAAGGGAACCTCAAAACATAAGTTGGAACAATACTTTGCATGCATAACTTACTGCTCACCAACAGTTACCATCTCCATAGCATGTTCCTAATTTAACTGTCATGAAAGGTCTAAGGTAAAGGCAAAGCTATCCTTTAACAGGCTGTGAACGCCCATAGGGTTGTGAGATGTCGAGGCTCCCACATTTTCTAGACAATCAGCTCGCTTTTGGCATTGAGGTTGTCAGCCTTATGCGCCAGCCGCCCTTTACCCCTCAGGAAGATTCCTGGTACTCATTTCTATGAGAGTCTGAGTCGGTCCCAGAGCTATAATGTGACTGGAAGGATTAGGTAAATTGAAAAAGCCACCTTAACAGGATTCAAACCCGCAACCTTCCAGTTTGTAGCATAGTGCCTCAGTCAGCTATGCTACTGTGTGCCCCTGAAAGGTCTAAGAGGGGAATATAAATCGTATAGTTCTCAGCATGTAACGCTTTCCTAGAATTTTATTTTAAAGTGTTAGTACGTGTAATTTATATTAGTATGTCACTTGTTGTAAATCTTAATTTGCAATATATACCACTGAAACTAATGTATATGTTTTGTTACAGGAGATATGCCAGAAGATGGATTGGGTTGTCATCTCTGTTCTCATGTGGCACATGATACCACACATCTAGAACAGCACTTAGCAATAGTTCACGAGAAGGATGTCACATACAAATGTGGTATATGTGGCTTCATATGCCAGTGGAACAAAGATTATTATGGCCATATGAAAACCCACTTCCAAGGTCCACCTTTTAAATGTGATTCTTGTAAGTTGAAAGAACATTGAGTGTTATAAGAGGAGAATTACATGTAGGTTGTAGGTTATTTAACAGCACTTGCAGTGTTGAGACTGTAGCATTGGGTGGTAAGTTGATGAATTGATGATGGTGAATTTGAAATGGTTTGGAAGGAAGTGGTTGTGGCCTAATTGAGGTATTTTCCCCGAATTTGCCTGGTGGGACCAAAAGACCACAAAAACCTCAGTCAGGATAGCTGGTGTCCTGGCAGAGATTCAGATCAGTGCCTCCCAAGTACAAGCTTAGAGCATTACTTCTAGATAAACCTGAAAATTACTTGTGCAGCATTAGGACTGTAAATTATTGTATTAGGGCTAGTAAAATAGGTGGGTTAAGAATATTAATATTTGGCCAAGCAACAGAAGTACATGTGAAATCTGAGGATCATATACTTAAGAGTTTACTTGCCATGCAGTACAGAATTTTAAAAGTTCTGTTCAACTTAAGTTAAGACAGAAATATGCGCAACATCTTTTGCCTATGGCCAAGCAGAATGTAATGACCAGAGTTCTTAAAACTAGAGTCCAACTGAAATAGAAGCTGAAACCACAGAATTACATAGTCAAATTTGTAAAAAGGACAACTATAAGACAGGCCATAGTCTGTCAATGTTTAGATCATAGATAAGACAAAGGTGTGTGTGTGTATATATATATATATAGTGGAACCTCGCTTAATGAGCATAATTCGTTCCAGAATCTTACTGGTAATCTGAAACACTCGTTAAGTGAAACAATTTTTCCCATATAAATTAATGTAAAATACGATAATGCATTCCATGCCGAAAAAAATACTAAAAAAATGTTATGTATAACGTTTATTCAAAGAAAATTATATATACATTGTTAAGGAGCATGAATCATCTTCATCTTTTTCTTCTATGCGGAATGAACCAACCTGGAATGCGAATTCGATTTGCAGAAAAAAAATGGAAATAATTAGTTTGTTATTTTTGATACATATCTAATTCTTTTTTACTAGAAAGCTGTCTAGAGACACTTGCTTTTGCTGACGCTTCAAAATTTGGTGAAAATGCGACACAACATTATCATTAAATAAATTTGTAGCGTGCATAGCCAGTGCCTTATTAAGGTGATGCTTCTCAATGTACGATGCAACAGTTTCCCATGCTTTTAGCATTTCTCTTATTGCGCCAGAAGATTGTTGCTTTACTGTTACCATCTCCTCCTCTGACAAACTCTCCTCCACAACTTCTTGCTGTGAAACACAATGCAACTCCATAAGCTCTTCCGTGGTCAGCTCTTGGCTCTACTCTTCCACAAGCTCATCGATATCATTGTTATCCACATCCAGCCCCATTATCTTGGCCAAAGACACAATCTCGTTGACTACAGGCTCCACAGGTACCATCTCAGACCCCTCAAAGTCACATTCAACAACGCTCTCCGGCCAAAGCTTCTTCCAAGCAGAAGTGAGGGTTCTCTTGGTAACCCCTTCCCACGCCTTTTTGATCATCTTGAGGCAGGCAACAATGTGGAAGTGATATTTCCAAAACTGTCTGAGAGTGAGATTGGTCCCTTCAGTCACCTCAAAACGCTCGAAGAGTGCTTTAGTGTACAGCTCCTTAAAGTTAGAAATAACCTGCTGGTCCATAGGCTGGAGTAACGGAGTGGCGTTAGGAGGCAGAAATTGGATCTTGATTAATTTAAATTCTTCAAGGAGGTCATCTTGTAGGTCTGGAGGATGGGCAGGAGCGTTGTCCATAACAAACAAGACATGGAGTGGCAGATTCATCTCAAGCAAATATTTTTTCACAGAAAGACCAAACACTTCATTGATCCAATCAGTAACAAGGTCACGTGTCACCCAAGCCTTGTTGTTGGACCTCCACATCACATTTAGCCTGCTCTTCTGGACCTTACACTTCTTGAAGGCTCGTGGAGTTTCTGAGCGGTAAACAAGCAGCGGTTTAATTTTCAAGTCGCCACTTGCATTGGCACAAAATAGCAGCGTGAGACGGTCTTTCATTGGCTTATGGCCGGGCAATACCTTATCCTCTGCTGTTGTATAGGTTCGATTTGGCATCTTTTTCCAGAAGAGACCCGTCTCGTCACAATTAAAAACCTGTCGCGGCAGTTAACCCTCAGAATCTACGAGCTTCTTGAGGTTGCTGATGAAGTTCTCTGCTGCCTTTGTGTCAGAGTTTGCTGCTTCACCATGCCTTACAATGCTGTGGATGCCGGTTTTTCTCTTAAACTTCTCGAACCACCCGCCGCTTCCCTTAAATCCTTCTTCTTCGGCCGTTGATGATCCTGGTGTCTTCTTAACAAGTTCGGTGAAAATCACTTTCGCCTTCTCACAAATGATGTTCTCATTAATAGTGTCGCCTTGCAATTGCTTTTTGTTTATCCATATGAGGAGCAACGTTTCAGCATCGTCAAGAATATGTAACCATTGCGTAGATGTTCTTGTCATTCCCTTTGAAGCATCTATCTCCTTAATCTTGTCCTTGTTCTTGAGGATAGTGCAAATCATTGATGTAGACCGATTGTATGTGCGTGCTAGATTAGCCACGCTCACACCTCGTTCTCGCTTTTCAATGATTTTGCTTTTCATTCCTATGGTTATTTTTATTCTCTTATGGCTGTCTTTTTGCGGCCTTTTCTTCAGTGACACATTTGCAAGGGTTATTAAACTTTTCACAAAAAAAATCACAAATAATATGTCTGAACACAAGTTTGGAAAAATGTGTGATCACACGCGACACTAAGATGCTAGTGGAACGAGCGCTAAACACAGGCTGATGTAGCAAGCACACAATCCGGGACTTCCCCTCTCGTCACTCATTATGCGAAATGTCGCTCGTTAAGCGAGTCATTTTTTTACAATTTGTTTTGCTCGTTATGCAAATTATTCATTATGAGAGGTGCTCATTAACCCTTTGACGTGGTCATTTAAATTCCGCGGCCGCGGCTCCTGCGGTAATATATTCAGCCGGCCATTTAAATTTTGCTCGAAAATTATTTATTCATCATTGTTCTTAAATTCTATGAGATAGGAACATGAAACTTTCACTAAAATGATCTTAAATGGTGGTTTTATAACCTTACCTTATAATATGGGCGCCCTGTATCTCGGCCATGGAAGCAGGTTGTTTAGTATTTCAGCAGTGAATGGTACGCCTTGAAGGATGAAACTTTCACTAAAATGATCTTAAATGGTGGTTTTATAACCTTACCTTATAATATGNCACACATGCACATGCACACACATATATGCACAGACAGACACGCATGTGCACACACCCCCAAGTACAGGGGATACTTATCACTTTCAGAAAAACACATCACAGATATAAGCTGTGTGTCAAGATCTTTTTACACTATTGAGTTTCTTCGTACAAGTTCTTGTTTTACATGTCTTACATGGTATATGTTTAGAAGGAAACAGATTAAAATGTTCAGTGCTTTCTGCTATGATCTTGCTGGCGTAGATTATCAAATGATATTTCGTCATATTCTTCATGGTCTATCTCACTGTATCTGAGCATTTGCTTTGGTGATTGTCTTTGGCCTTCTCATGTGTTACGTTGGTGTATAAATTTGTCTTCCATACAGGTGAATACACGTGTGACCGACTTCACCTTGTGATTACTCATCGTATGAAGCATTCTGATGAAAGGCCCCATCGCTGTGATTGTTGTGGATATCGCTGTCGAACACGTCCCAATCTTTTGGTTCATATGCGTTGCCATACTGGGGATCGTCCATACAAATGTCAGTATTTTGCAAATCACTAAGATTTCATACGAAAGATGCAACAGTTATGCTTCTATTTTAAGCATATTGCTATGTACACCCTTTGCAAAATTGTTACTATACAGTAGCAGCCAGAATTTCTCTGTTAGTAGAGTGACTGGGTATGGGCTGGATGAACAGGATTAAAGTTCTGGCAAGAAAAGAGATTTTTCTCTTTTCCAACATGTCCAGACCAGCTTAGGAATGTATTCAGTCTCTTATGTAATGGGTACTGGGACCTCTTTCTACAAGGGAAACATATAGCTGACCACTGAACCCCATCTCGTGCATGGAAGCATACCTTCATTCCCCTGTTTATTTACAGTGTTTCATGCTTAAATGAGTACAGGGACAACTTTACCTTTACCACATACATGTCATGCTGTTGCATTCTTCTGTAGGACACTGTTTATTAAATTGTATTAAATCAAGATCTTCACATTTCTTACTTGTTTATATCTTTTAAATAATTTTTCTCCCATTGTAAAATATCTATAATATTTTTCCAACTTCTTCCTCTGTGTTCTCCAGTCTTTTTCACTGAAGAGTATTGTCTTCTGTGTTGTAATGCTTGCACTTTGGAAGACGTCCAACATTTCGGAGGAATACATCACCTCCATCTTCAGGACTGAATAATAGGCTAAACAAGAAACTATCAAGAAGTCGGTGACATGCCAAAAGGTCTTGATTTTTCCAAATTACCCACCATTACAATCCAAAATATTGTGCTGTTTATAGTCACTCTTTAAGAACTTCAAATACAGCATTCTTCACAGAACGTATTACCATGTTCCAGATTTCTTCTTCCTCTCATTTTATTTTCATTTCTGTCTTCTTTTACCATTTTTGTTGTTTTGACATGGCAGATTTTCATGTTTAGCTCTGTCTTTTATATTTTCATTTTTTTTTATTTCTCCTTCGCTTTCCTAGTATTCCCCTGTCTAAGCACATCATGGGGGCATGAAAACCCCAAATTCTCTTTGGACATGGCTATGGAGAAACAGTCCTTGCCACTGACAAGAATTGAGGGCTGTATATATCATATAGCCCATCATTTTACTGACAGGTATCCTGGCTCTGTCCATCCTGATATATTTTCTTAACCTCCCCCTCCAAATTACATTTAATCTTATTTTAATCTCCTTTAATGGGTCCCTTTTTCTGTTGTATTTGTTAAAATAAAAATATAAGAATCTTTGGTGAATTGTCAGTTACATTTCTTGTGACAAGATACATATCAACTCCACTACCTTAATGTTGGACACACTAGACCATCATTGTCTTGTACTGGTGTTTGTGTTCTTTCTACACCTAGAGACTTAGGTATGTCTCACAACTGGTCCTTTATATAATGGTAGCATAATCTAATAGTAAGCCTCTGTTTGACTTTATTTTGAAAAATTTGTATTTTTAATTTTATTGAGAGCATAGTTATATAAGCAAGATGTTTTATTATTGCCTTTCTGATGTATGGTTGTTTTAGGTGAGACCTGTGGCCGAGCATTTGCAATGAAGAGTACCTTGGAGCAACATTTGGCAAGCCATAGCAATGATCGTCCTTATCTTTGTGATATATGTGGCTTTTCAACAAAGTACCTTAGTCATCTAATAGCCCATAAAAGGATTCATTCAGGTAATCAGCATTTCCTGCCAAGTGTGTTGAAATATTTTAGTTACCTCTAGGTTGCAGTTCAGATTAACCTTTAGCATACAGCATTTGCATTCGCTTGTGCCTACTCTCGGCTGGAGCTATCTTAAATTGAAATGCATAAAAAATTGTCTGGACTGACTGAGGAAAACAGGGAAGCTCTCAGTCAGTATATTTGATATGGAAGTCCTGGAAATCCACTATATGAAGCCATAATATTGACCCTCCGGCAGCAATTCTCAGTGCACTGGCAAGCCTGCACATACACGTACACAGATTCAGTGGGTGCTCTCCTATGCTTCATCGAATCTCACTTGCTTCTTGGTTTCTCTAACCTCTAGCTGTCAACCTAGGTGTTTAAGAGAAGAAAAATATTGCTAAATTAAAGACTACGAAGGACATACTTTTAGCTGATATACAGGTGTCCCAGGAGGAATGGACCAAACTTCGGGAGGGTGTTCCTTATGTTAAAGTATGCCGATATAACCCAAAACACCTATGTCCAAAGTTTAACGGTTACGGAGATAATGGCCAGAGAAGTGTCAAACTTTGACCGGTGTTACACACTTGTTGATTACAAAATACATATTAAAACTGGCAGGAATATGTGGTTTCTGTAATGTTAATAATGTACGTAACATCAAACTAACTTGTGAGTGACGTGAAGCCATAAAATTGAAGTACAAAATACTCACTCGCCATGTCATAATTGTACTTAGGGTTTCCAAACACTATACATGACACATGACTGGCAAGCGCTGACGTAATATGGCTGGCTGCGCATACTGGTATAAACAGACTACATAACTATACTAAACAAACATTGACGGAAAATCTCTTTTGGAATTTCGTTTCCATTATCTCATGTGGATTATTATGGAACCACGTATGCACATTTCGTAAATTATTTACTTATCCAGGGTAAAAGACACCTCATCACTGAATAAAATGACGCTAAACAGTTCGGGATGAGCTTTTTATCCAGTGGCACGAATCCATACGCTGTGCATGGTCGCCTGGTTCCAGATGTTGTACCATTTGATCATGGTAAGAATAACTCTTCATGAT